CTCTCTTTCGGCCTATCCTCCTTCCCTCCATTCATGCCTCGGCGCCTTTCCATAGGCCCTCCTACTTCCTCCCTAGGGCTCGGCCCTCTGGCCCTCTGTCCTTCCTCCCTCCCTCCCTCTCTCCGTTCCTCCTTCCTCCCTCTTCCCGTCCTTCCTCTCTACTTCTATTCCTTGGTTCTCCCCCCTGCCCCCCGCCCTCCCTCCCTGCCTCCTGCCTCCCTTCTTAATGCCGGATCGAGAGAGTGCGTTTTGCTGTTCTTTCTTTTCCAAGTTATGTGAACACCAGATTACATTTGCTGATCTGAAGAAAAGCGAGCGCGCACAAGCACACGGTCACGCTCCCTCGCTGGAGAGAGAGAGAGAGAGAGAGAGAGAGAGAGAGAGAGAGAGAGACACACACGCTTGCAATATTGGACGACATAGCGAGGCTTTACTTTCACAGAATACACGTCCTGTCCATGGCATGCGACAAAAACAGTGGCGACTACCCTTCTACCTCTGTACTCAGGTAATCCTTTCAGCCATTGTCATCAATATATATACCCTTTGGTCCAAGTTCTTCCCCGTCCAACTGAACCCTAGCCCCTGCAGTGTCCTCTCATCATCGTGTCATCGTCATACTTGAAGAATTCCCGTTGTCCATAAGTCCTCTTGGATGCGATATATCGAAATCCCAATCCTTCGAAGAAATTTGCCGTTTTTCTTTGAAGTATTCTTGTCGCTGTTGCTGAATTTCGTCTGTTAGGATGCTCACGTGGTCGCACTTTGTACAAGTATCCAGTCATTCACGAAAATCGTCGGCATCTTCATATTCTGAGAAGTACCCCGGTATCGCCTACCGGTATCCGTAATTCGTGAATTCCTTATTATATTTATTTCCTTATTATTTCTTTATTTCTTTGTTTATTTTACTTTCCTGGGATGCTGAAATTCAGACTCTTGATTTCTTGTCGTTGTATGCAGTGCTTACGTATGCCGCGGAGTGTTGTATCGGTTCCCTTTCTGTAATCAGAGATCGATTACACTTTCCTTCGTCGACTCATTCTTAGGAAGGTCGCGCATTAAATTTCATTTTCATTTTCGGTTGTTCGGTGGTTCCTTTCTTTTGATCTTATATCTGAAGATCTGAAATAATCTGTCTGAATTCTCGTTCAGCCTCCTCCTTTTGTCCAGACTTTTGAAACGAGTTTATATTTTGACGTGGTTCGCAAAATTCTTTTAATCTTGAAAGAAGAAAGGCTTCGGTCGCGGAATCTTGCATTTCATACGCGGGTACTTGGCTTTATGTATTAAGTTTTTTGTTTGGTAGTTCGGGGGGCGTATTTTTTTTTTTCTTACCATGGGCATTTGTAATTGCTTTGCCCGTCACTTTCGTTTTGTTTCCCGATTCCTTATGTCGTTCTCTTCCATAAATTTCAGGAAGATATTCCGCACAGTGTTGTCTGTACAGTTTCTGACGAAGGCCAGTATTGCCAGACGTGTTGTCTTCCATGGGTATTCCAATAATCTGAGCTCCGTGCATTATAATCCCAGTACGGCGGGTAAATCGTTCGCGTCACACGTATTTGTTACCATTCTATGAAAAGTGCCGATTATTGTCAACACTTGTGTTCACGGAACCGACACTCCTGAAATGAGGGGTAGACCGAAGAGAGAGAGAGAGAGAGAGAGAGAGAGAGAGAGAGAGAGAGAGAGAGAGAGAGAGAGAGAGAGAGAGAGAGAGAGAGAGAGAGGTGCTGTGGTGGGCGTAGGGAACAGGGAGGAAGAGCGTGAATGGTGGAAATACCTGTCGCAGGTAAATTTGATGATTAATCTTAATGCTGCCCCGCGACAGTGAGAGGAGAATGTTGAGCAGGAAGAACTTGAGGAGGAGGAAGACGAACTTTGGGTGGTGGACCAGAGGAACGAAGGAGAAGGTGCGGGGAAGGAAGAGCTTGGGGAGGATGTGGAGGAGGAAGCGTGGTAGGTGAAATGTGTGTCTCTCTCTCACCCTCTCTTTTTATTGACATCTTGATAAGAAATGCAGCGTCGACCACAGAAAGAAAGAAGACGAAATGCACGTCTTTTGTCTGGCGTTAAGAAAGAAAGGAAGCCGAACCGAGGGATGGAGGGAGTAGGCTAGGTCGTTGTCGTGGGGGATGCAATGGGAGGGAGGTGTTGTGGGGGGTGAGGACGTAAGGGGGAGGGGGCGGTCGGGGGAGAGAGAAGAGTGTGAGATTGCCCTAAGGGGAGGGAGATGGTTGGGCGGAGGGAGGTTGAGGAGGAGGAGAAGGTCGGGAGGAGGCTGGGATGAAGGGGAAACGCGGCAGAGAGTTGGGTGGAGGGAGGACAGAGGTTGGGTGGAGAGAGAGAGAGAGAGAGAGAGAGAGAGAGAGAGAGAGAGAGAGAGAGAGAGAGAGAGAGAGAGAGAGAGAGAGAGAATGAGTAGGACGAAGATTATGAGGAAGAGGCAGGGAACCTCGATTGGAAGAGCATGAGGAGGAAGACGAGCGCGAAGAGGAGGAAGGGTGTGGATAATGAAGCCATGCTAATCTCCTCTGTGGCCGTCCTAGCCCAGGAAATTGACAGCCCGGTGCGTGATGAGGAGAAGAGTATTGAACGAATTCAAACGGAGGGAAAAGAGAGGTGTGTTCTGTGTGAGAGAGAGAGAGAGAGAGAGAGAGAGAGAGAGAGAGAGAGAGAGAGAGAGAGAGAGAGAGATGGGGGGGGGGTGTGTGCAGTGGAGAAGGAGGATTTGGTNGAGAGAGAGAGAGAGAGAGAGAGAGAGAGAGAGAGAGAGAGAGAGAGAGAGAGAGAGAGAGAGAGGAAGATGGGAGGGGGGTGTGTGCAGTGGAGAAGGAGGATTTGGTCAGTTTAGGAGCAGGGTGGGCACAGTGGAGGAGGGGCGGTCTACTGAGGACGAGTGTGGAAGGGGTGAAGGGTTGCCAAAGTTGAGGAGTAGGATGGGTGCAGAGGGAGGGGTTGGCGCAGTGGGGAAGGAAGGTTGGGTCAGTTGACGAGCAGGGTGGCCACAGTGGAGGCGGAAGATCCGTCCAGTGAGAGAGGAGGATGGAAGGCGTGAAGGGTCGCCACAGTTGACGAGTACGATGGGTGCGGAGGGGGAGGGGGTATAGATGAGGGAGCATGGAGGCCGGGTGGAGGTTGGAGTAATTTGGCCTGGAGTTTGGGAGGAGTCAAAACTCAGCAAGTAACATATGGGATCCATACAGCATTGGTTGATTACAAACAATTCAGAAAACATAGCAAACAGAATCCTAATCCTGAGCAAACACATTAGCGTGACAAGATGTGCGCTGGAAAGTTCGGATTTCGAGAACTACAACTGTGTGGGTCATTTCACACAGCGTAGAGCAAGAATCTATGCTTCTCAAAGAAAACGCTCACCGTGGGCAAGGTCGCACTTGCGCAAATTAGTTAGGAGATTTCGGCCGTTGATCTTTGCTATCTACGGTCAGTATCTCTTAATTCGTGCAAGTGCGACCTAGCCCCGTGAAAGGAAGAAAAAGGGTTTGGTGGTATTCCCTCCCATTTTCTTCCAAGCGAGGCTGTAGCAGGTAACTCAACAAAATGCGGCGGAGTTACGGGTCCGGTCAGTTCAATGATGATATCTCAAGGCTGCCGCCCTCCAGAAAACGGGGGGAAAAAAAAGGAAAGAGCAGCTTGGCACTGGGGTCTGAGCACGGAAGACTCACGGCATTCTGACATAAGGACTTTCCCTGATGCGTCTGACCTCTTTTACAGTCCAACCTGGATCACATAACGGCAATTACGTCCACAGGTAAGTTGAAAAAAGCACCAGTGTGAGCATGGGCCTCGCCAGCCACTCAGCGAATCTGCAGAATGAGAAGGAATCTTTCGCTACAACCTGGAAAGATGCATTGCCATAATTTTTGTCTTCTGTGCGTTTGGTGAGTCGTGCGGTGAGGCACTATACCCAGTGAAAGAAATGACCAAAGCAAGCGACTACGGTGTCTTGTGTGTCGGCCTTGATGTGAAGGACGCTAAATGAGAAAAGGACGGAAGACGGAGATTTGGGTTGTCGGTTGATGGATTCATTCAGCGGTGTTATCGGAAAAGCAAACGTACACGAGCCGGTGTTTGGTGCTCCGTCTGCGCTGGGTGTTGCTGCGTCTGTTGCTGCTATCACCAGTCGAGAAAAAGCTCAGGTCCTGTATTTGAATGCCTAGTTATCAAGCGAGCGAGTATGGTGTCCAAACGGGGACATGAGGGCACAGATGACGAAGGCGAACAAGGCCACGAGAGTAGGACGCCCATGGGTAAGGCCGCGGCCAAAGATAGTAGAGGGAAGAGCCTGAGTATCCGGAAGACAAAGAAGAAGAGAAAGGGTGCGGACCAAGCCAAGCTGATGGACCGGGCCTTGCGTTTCCTACAGACTGTGGCCAGTGGCTTGATCTTGGAGGTGGGTAATGTCGGCGAAAGAGGGGGTTTGTCCGTGGTGGAGTTGAGGAAAGCGTTGGCAAATGCCATCAAAGAGCTGCCTAGGGGGCGATTAAGAAGAACTCTGGAGAGTGATTTATCGCATTTTGCAAGGATTCTTGCAGGCCGCGTGGAAGAAGCACGAACAGGGAAGATCGCAACTCTCGGGTCTGACAAGGGACCGGACGGCATCGGCCGGCCGCGGGAAACGAGCCACATCGTCGAGGTGGAGGTGGAGAACTCCCTGCAGAAAGCCTTGGGAGGTGAGGTCTTGAGCAATCATGGCTATAAAGGTGCAGCGATGGCGGCAATTTCGGCCGTAGATCTTGTGGGAAAGAAGGTTGAGATCCCCCCCTCTGATGTGAACAAGTGGCATCGCGCGTTCGAGCGACTGTTTGCGGCTCGGCGTCCGCCGCCCTTCGTCCTTGTCGTCGCCTATGCGGAATTCGCGAGGACTGTGTTCCGTAGAGCGGCTAATGGAGGAGGAGAGGGAGATGAGCTGGCGTATTCTGAGAGGATGTGGGCCAGGTGCGGTCTGAAATCGGATTGCGCGGCCACGTGTGGTCGCGACTCCCGCGTCGTGAATGGTGCCCTGCGGGACGTCGTCGTTGCTGAAGGAGTGCTGAAAGCTGTACACGTGGCAGTCGAAAGCTTGTCGGCGGAGGGGGTGGCGGCCATAGCCGCGGTCGCGCCGGCGGTGGAACCTCTGCGGACAGCTGTCGCTTCCGTAGCGAAGGTGATGACAGGCGACATGGCAGCGGTTGGCGACGGCAGCGCGAGCGTGTCGAGGCAGCAGCAGCAGCAGCAACAGCAGCAGCTGAAGAAGCTAAGCCGCCTTCTCATCAAAGCTGTCAAATCGTTGGTGGCTAGGGTTGAAGCAGTGATCGTCTCTCAGAAACATTCCGGCGGTCTCCCCTCACCTTGCCTGCGAATTTATCCGCCGAGTTTCGATCCCTTGATCTTGCCGCCGACCATGAGGAAGCGATTGAAGACGGCGCTGATGGGATTCTCCTTTCGAGAAAGCTTTTTCGACGACGCTGGCGCCCAAGCCAACGTCGACGATGGAGACGCTTATGGCGGGAACGGTGGGGGAGCATCAGCATTGCTGCTCACGAAGGAGAATGTGATGGCGCGGAATCTGGCAGAGCGAGTCGCAGCAGAGATTTTTGTCATAAGAGTATGTGTGGAGGCGCTAAGAGTCCGAGGCGGCCACGGTGGAGGAGGAGGAGGAGGAGAAGGAAGAAGGGCGGCGGAGGGAGGTGGTGTTAATTCGAGCCGTCATCAGCAGCATCAGCGGCAGGGAAAAGCTATCGTTCAAGTCCGAACCGGTAATGGTAGGATCATGGACTTAGCGCCGCTCGCCGACTCACAGGAGAAGATTCATAGTCTGCGCTTGATAGCAGCAGACCTTTTCGTCAGCTTGTTGGGATCGCGATGCGGTGAGCGGGGGGAAATCCTGTTTCCACATTCCGCCGACACAGCTTGTTACAACTCTCCCATCTGAGAACCTTTTTTTTTTTTTTTTTTTTTTTGGGGG